TTAGCTCTATGCAATGTTACCTTTATGCACCATTACCCTTACGCACCGTTAGCTTTTGACAATGTTAGCTTTCTGCGCTGTTAACACAATGTTAGCTTTACGCACTGTTAGCTTTAGAGAATGTTAGCTTTACGCACCGTTAGCTTGACATGATTTTAGCTTTCCTACACGATTGTAGCTTTACACAAGTTAGCCTTACAGACTGTTAGCCTTGTGCGTGTTAAGCTTTATACAATGTTAGCTTTTGCACCATTAGCCTTATGCACTGTTAGCTTACACAATGTTATCTTTACACAATGTAATCTTTACAAATTGTTGGCTTTGCACAATGTTAGCTTTACGCACCGTTAGCTTTACACAATGTTAGCCTTAGCCACCATTAGCTTTAGGTAATGTTAGCTTTGTGCACGGTTAGCTATGTGCATGGTTAGCTTTACACGCCAATAGCCTTACACACCGTTAGCCTTACACACCGTCAGCTTTGCACAATGTTAGCTTTACACATTGTTAGCTTTGCACAATGACGTCATACACACTCCGCTTTGCTTTAAAAAAAATATAAATATAAAAAATCTAACGGCGGATGTCTGGGGGACAGTGATTGGCCTCCATGTTCTGAATGCTGGCGTTCCATAAAGAATAAATGATGAACAGATTGTCATGTTTGGTTTAAGGTGTCTAACCCACATGCAGAACACTCAGAGGCAGGAGAAAAGTTCAAAGATTTGAACACAATAAATGAACAGGTCCAGAGGGGAACTCATTTGGTCATGAGTGGGTTCTGAAAAGCACACAGAAAAATCTGATCCAGGACTGGGCACCAGTGGGTTCACTGCAGAGGGGGACAGAGGAGTTAGTGGAGGTCCAGGTATCTTGCAGGATGAGAGTGTTCAGGGCTGTACCTGTTCTGGAGTTGAGCAGAGCGGCAGAGGGGGGGAACCTTGAGGGTCAAGAGGCTGTCGGCAGGCTGAGGGCTTGGCGGAGGCAGAGCTTAATTTGAGTGCAGGCAGATCACAGATTTGAGTTTCCTTCCAGTATCTTCTGAGAGCGGGCAGGCTGGGCTTTGACAGGATTAATTCTCCAGGGTTCTTCAGAGATCAGACAGGCTGATTCAGGCAGAGAAACTCTTCAGGGTTTCAGGTTTCAGGCAGGTTCAATCTAGGAAGCAGAGAGGAGAAAACAGATCAGGTCAGGTTCAGGTTTTCAGGGAGTCAGAGGTTCAGACAGGCTGGTTGGCTCAGGCTTGCTAACCGTTACTGGCAAACACTCTGGCTCTGGAGA